ATCATGTTAATTCATAACTATACTATTGTTCATTAACTAATGTCAATTAATGCAACTTAAAAGTAAATATGGTAACACTTTAGTTTAGGGACCAATTCTCACTATTAACTAGTTGCTCATCAGCATGCATATTACAAGCATATTGCCTATGTATTAATACTTATGAAGCACATATTAATGCCTTATTTTGCATAATCATTAGATCCCTCAATCCTATGCCATACAACTTAGCAACTACCTTACTAACTATTAATAAGCAGCAAATTAGGAATCCATTGAGGCAAAGTTCATAGTTAATAAGTAAGTTAATGAGAATTGGTCCCTAAACTAAACTGTGACTGTAAAGATTAGTGTATGTAGAATAGGGTTGGGCTGATAGACGATGCCCATCGACCATCGCCGATGGCTGTTAGACATCACGATGTTGAGCTGGCATCGTGATCCCCATTCCCCCCGCATCCCAATACTGTGTTCGGAAAGAAAATGACGCGCAGGCGGAACCCCTAAAGGGAATAAATACGAGATGGGAGGAAAATATTTATTTCAACTATACTACATATATATTTCTGCATCAGGGAGCAGCTATTATACCTGGCATTGAAACTGGCATCATGCTTTTGAATGCACGATCGCTTTTAGTTTCACTTTCGAGATTCGTGATCGCAAGTATTCTGTTTATACTATGGAGCGGCAGTACTTACCACACATTTTACAAGATTATATGTTTGTCAGTGGTACTGAGGATCTGCAAATCATTCGCCATCGTCCTCAGTCATCTCTCCTTACTCTGTTTATGTGGTAAGTAAAATTTTATGTACTGTAAATGTAACAGGCAACTGTTACAACATGTCTACACCATCAGCTAAAGTCTGTCTACACTGACTTTACTGATCTTCAAAGCAACCATTGAAAATCATTTGAAATTTGTGTTAGCACATCATAAATAGAACGCGGCAGCAGTTTACTGTCTGGAATTTGTTGTGTCGCGCCGCGCCGCATCCAGTGTAGACAGCATCACTGATTATAATGAGTTCTAGACTGATCTATATATAATAAATCTCTATTATAGATCAGTGGTTCTATAGTATTTTGTTGCACCACGCTGCTCGCATCCGGTGTGTTAGGAATCGTTGTTTTCCCTTATAAGGATTCACGCTTTGGGCACACCCCCTAACTCTTCCCCCACACCCCTCCCCCCGCTCGCACCGATGTCATCGTCCATCGCAATGTTTCACTGTAGACATCGTCCGATGCCAATTTTTTTGACATCGCCCAACCCCTAATGTAGAACATTATTTACAATAATGTAAAGTTGCTAAAAATTCATGTTAGCTAGTGCACTAGTTCATGTAAACATATATTTCCCTCTATTTCAACTTAAAAACTTAAGTAGCTGCCTTGAATTTTTACGTATAATCAATTTGATTGTGCAAGTCATTTCAACTTAAATGAAACTGACTTTAAAAAATCAAGTTAAATTTCATATCATAGCATTTTTTACAGTGTGCAGAAACAAGACAAGACATCAAAGATGACAAATACATCTTTTTATGTGATTATAAACATTCAAAAGCAGGTCGACCATTTTAAATGGAAGCACATTCTTGGCAAATCCTCATTAGTGTTTGTGCAAATGTGCCCCGAATGACATTTACACGGACAAATGGTGCATTGCACTTTACAGAATAGTGGTTAAAAGCTCATTTGTGAGTAACACAATCTAAGCGTGTCATAACCTACTTGCGAAAAAAGAGGGCAGTGGCCATATTTATAGAACCCCATAGTCTAGTTCTTATAGATTCGGTAGAGAACCAATATTTACAGCAAGCCAGCTAAATATGACAGCTCAATCAATATTCTGTAGTCGCTCAGTGTTTGATCATTTGTAAATGGTGTTGCTTTATCAGCCCAGCACCACGTTTTATTGCCATTTCAAAGCATATGGCATAAAGTACCATATTTGGTCCAGCAAAGCAGGAGAGGGGAAATGAGGACATGTGCTTTGTGTATACAGTAACCTCACTCTCTGCTCTTATCGTTAATTTTATAGGGTGAATGAAAGCGAGAGCAAAGTTCACAACGGCGGTGGCAAACGTGCCTGAACCTGTGGTGCAGTTTCAGCACATGCGGCAATATGCGGATGTGAAGTGCGAACATGTGCACATGGGACCTTCCTAATATATTTTTCCCTATCTGCTCCCTGTGTGGTGAAGAGATATTGCCATTTTTAGCAGCTCACCTGATTTAACCCCACAACTCCGACAAGGGTATAGCTTTCATTTTCTCACGTTTGCGACTGCCTGACCAGTCGTGACTACTGGGAACTAATGGAGCTTGTCGTCAGACAATGCTCTGTCTCACCGTATGTAGGTCTAGTTCTAGTTTAAATCAGGAAGTGGAGGATAAACAGACCCCTCAGGGAGAAGCAGGGTACGTGCTGAGTATTGCCCTGGTATTACCAACAAGATATATGATTTGTCAGCCATGTGAGGACCTTTAAATCGCAGACATAATTAAAGGGCAGCGATGCCACTGAAGTCTGACAGACACCAGGCCTCTAAAGCAGCAGGTTTCTTGCGACCTGACCTTTGACAGCGCACATCATAAGGTGTGAAATCAAACAGAATGTCAACCGCCACACACACGACTGCAGGTGCTCTCGCACCACGACTGTAGGATCTACGTTATGCACTCGACCTGAAAGCAACTGCATTGTTGTGCATATAAAATTTTATATTCTTTGCACAAAATCTATGGCCTGTAACTAAATAAGATAAAAACTAATGACATTTTTTAAATATGAAGCGCAATGCAATACCTGGCAGGTTCAGGGACACGACTGTCCAGACCCCTTTTAAGTTTTGGACAGGTAAATAAAACACTTTTGACAGCGAATTTCAATATGGATTTTCAGAAATAAAAGCTAGTGCAGATTTTCAATGTCAGATGGAATACATCAATTATACTTTTTATTATACAAATGTCTCGCCCTGAGAAAACATCTTGAAATTTGAATACGGCACAACACTGAAATGAACAGAACTATATCCAGCTAATGAACTATTTTAAAGTATAACTAAAAATAATGGTAACACTAACAATAATGTAAAATTTGTTAACATATGTTAATATATTATTAACCATTAATGTATAATTAACCAACAATTAACATTTTTGTGCATTTATTAAGGTTAATTACTATACTAGTGTTCAATTTTAATTTATATTTGTATATAATATATTAACTAATGCTAATCAATGCAACCTGAAATGTTAAAAATAAATATTAGTGCATGTAAAAAAACTGATAAAATTGCTATTGCATTAGCTAATGTCAACATACTGCAAAGTTGTGTATTGTAAAGTGCACAAATGTCTGTGACATTTAATAACGTGTTAATATCCATGACTGTGGGTACCCTGTTACTAAACAGGTAGCATGAACAGTCTTGACAGTGCAAAATAAAGGTCATCAGACTCCATTTTTTTTATTTGTATAAGGAATGCACGCATGACTGTCGATTTATGCAACAACTCAGACATGGACGACAAAATAAATTAAAGCATTCAGTTGTCTGTGCTGGCAAATGTCCGATGATGTTAAGGGTTAGCGGGACAAAGGACATTAAACTTCCAACACACCAAGATACAAAACCCCCCTCACACACTTTTCCAGTACCAACTTTTACATGTTCCAGGAAGCCACGGACAAATTCAGCTCCTATTGTGGGTGAACACCTTATGGTTGGGACTGCACCCAGCCCTGGCCATGAAATTGAAATGTCAGCGTGACAGCATTACTAGTTTTAGATGGCAGACACAAAAATACAGCATCAGAAAAGATATACTGAACAGCCCTCTGCTCCTGACTATTACAGGGGGCTCATGACATGTGAGTTTCAGCTCCATCCAACCTGTTTACAAACTAGGTGCTGCTCAGCAGTGTTGGGGAAAGTTACTTTTAAAAGTAATGCGTTACAATACTGCGTTACTCCATAAAAAAGTAACTAATTAAGGTACTTAGTTACTTTCTATGGAAAGTAATGCGTTACGTTACTTTTGAAATCTGGACAGGGCTTGCTTGTTTGTTTTTAAAATAAAAAAGTTCTATTTTTGGCAAACATAAAAGCTTTTTCACACCAAAAGTGAAATAAATAAGCCTCAGGCTGAAGGGAAAGTAAATTTACGTCCGTACAGTAGAACGCAGAAGAAGAAATTTCAACACACTTCAGCAATAAAAAAGACACACAAATGTAATTTTTGCTTATTAGTACGGTTAAACTGGATCATCGAAGGTCAGAAGCAAAGACATTGGTTATTAGAACGGGATTAAATACATAAAGGATATTTGTGTTGTTTAACATTTAATTATTGCAGGTTTGTGTCATATTCTGAGTTGCATTACTTTTTAATCATTTTGAGGAATACTGAATCTGATTTTTTTTTTTTGAGCGAGATGAATTAATGCATATTCATATTTATTTTAGAACTACAGTAACATCTTCTGATTTCTCTCAACATGGAGACAGGACAGCTGTCAATCAACAAATTGGGAAAAAAAGTAACTTGCGTTACTTATTTGAAAAAGTAACTCAGATATTCTCTAGCAAATAAAAAAGTAATGCGTTACTTTACTAGTTACTTGTAATGCGTGTGCAGGGCTCAGGGCACCACAGCATCGATGGGAAGCTCAACAGCTGGCAGCCAGTGACACCCAGCAGCGTTACTGGCGTTTTATTAGAAATGACATATTGTGCGTTAAGGTCAAATGAGAGACTTGGCTACTAAGTACACGGAGAAATTCAAATTCTAGACTTATGCGTCACGATGAGAAGAGGCCATGTGCGCAAAAGCAAGGTTCGAGATAGAGACCCATAAACGAGCGAGAGTCAGTCGTGACAGCGAGCAATGCGTTACACCAATCACAAATGCAATAACGTGTGCGGCTACAGTGGGTAAAGAATATGAAATAGTGGTCTTTAAGAAAGCAGATGACTCACCTGTGCAGACAGCGCGCGGCTAGAGCTCGGGTGACATCAAATGCAGCGCAAAGCGAAATGAAGATTTGTCAATAACTACGTCACGATCACTGGCTGATGTGAGGCGCGCGCTTTGGTTGCAAAAGTTCCCGCGTTGAACCGAGAGCTTTCGATCGCGCGGTTTCCTGCTTAAAGCTTCGGACAATGCCCAGCGGCTGCGGGGTGTTTCGAGTTGAACGACGAAGCGAGCGATGGGGAAGCGTGAAGCGAACTTGCTAGCTGCTGCTAGGCAGAAGACGAGACGAGGGAGGGCAGAAGGGAGGAGTAGAGAAAGTGTGCACGGCACTACGTGCATTCCCATGTATTGCCTCCATTTTAGGGGGATTCCCACTCGACCTCAACGCAAACTGCGTCTTATGGATGAGGACACCTATGAGGAGAAATATTTGACGAGAAGGCTTTAGGAAGGGTGGGTTTAAATGCATTCGATAAATATCGTACAGTACTGCACCTAAGTAAATATTTAGACAAGAAGATCCGTCCTCACTCTATAAAATATACTTTGCTTATGAGTAACGGGTGTTTTAAATGTGCACTCGGCATTCTTTAAATTGGAAAAGTTTACACATTGAGATAAATCTAAACTGTGTATACTCGCATGACATTATTCTTTTAGAAAAGACCGTTTTTCTCTACATGGAGCGGGTCGCCCTCTCGTGGACGCAGCCATGATGACGTCACATGACCTGGCGTGTCATACAATTGTCTAATTATTATTAATAATAAATGTTATTTAATACATCGCAAAACTAACACATACATGGGCCTGCTCCAAAAAAACAAACAAAAACTTAAAACTTAGTTTAAACATATTTAAACAAACTAAACGCCTTTTCTAAAAATGTTTTTAACGTTTATTTCTTATTCACACTTGTAACTAGTTGTCCTTGCTCTATAAATCCCGAACATAACATTTTGAGGGAAAGAGAATGATAATCTATTTTTAGGTTTAATAGTTTCATTTAATGCACCAATGGATCTCTAGGTCCCAAATTTGACAACTGACAACTTTTAAGAACCCGCAAGCCCAAAAATACATTTGTCACAAATGTTACCAGTGGGATTAAATGGATTAACTGGCCAAACTAAATTATACAAACCCACTGTGTCACATAATAAAACGAGCATTTTGTTCTACAGATCAAGGGAGTTTACTTATGTAAGGTTTCATTCATAAGCAACGGGTATTACTTTGGCTCCATCTGCTGTAGAAAGAAAATGAAGCAAAAATGAAGACTCACCCTCTCTGAGATAGTTTAACTAGCCACAACCAACTTGGATTATTATTTTTAAAAATGTATTTATTAGTACTCACAAATGTAATTCATTTTCCATTAGAGCAATCGGTGCTCCTCAGTATAACCTATGGTGTGGTATAGATTCAGCAGTTGAAGTGATTCACAATGGCTTTTTATTTTCAAGTAACAAAATATGAGCTAACCCATAACCTGTGATGCTATGAGCAAACATATAAATAAAAGGTATGTGAAAAAAATTTACTTTTACATCTAAAAAACATCTTAAATCAAAATAATAATGTTGGACTTCAACATAAGGCTGACTTGTGATGTGCATGGGATTGTAACGGTTGAGGACACTTTAAAAAAATTAGGCAATATTTGAAATCGTACATTACAGGAATGTAAATAAAAACATGCAACCAGATTCTTCCTCAGAACAGCAAGGTCGGAAAATGGCGTTTCTGAAACATTCCAATCTTTGGCTTTCACGATAAGCAGATGCTTTTCATCCATTGTGATTTTCAGTACATGCAATCTGGAGTCAAAATGCCCTCTCTCAAGGGCAGAGTGGTGATGGGACAGTGGATTTTATCATCTTTTCAGTTCACAAGACACATCAGGCTGCAAGACGGTAATTCAAATATGATATCTAACAGAACTGGTGCCAAGAATCAATATATATGAGAATTTTGATGTGCGTTCCACAAAATGCATTTGACACAGAAAGAGCAGCCCGCAATTAACAACCCGTATATGCTAATATTTAGCAGTAATTTGGGTTTAAAGGATTATAGGTACCCCAAAGTAATCAAATGGAATCACCATTTTCTAGTCCAGTATTGAGTTCAAACCTCTTCCCAAATAGCTGTTGGCTACCGCCACTGCTCCACGTTTTCTAAATAGTCCAATATGGTTTCACTGTCATCCTCCTCTAACCAGCTGTCCTCTACCTGTCCTTCTGTCTCGCGCTCCAGCGTTTGTCCAGCATCTACTGGTTTTTCTTCCGAGAAAGTGGGAGATTGTTCTGTCATTGGTGGCTCCTTGGTGGGTTTAAAAACAGCTTTTCCAGTCACCCCCCACCAAGGCTTCACCTTGGCATGTAACTTGCGCCTCTCCTGCAGGCGTTGCTGCCGGGCCTCCCTGCGATCCTGCTGTCTGGCGTACTGGAAGCGCTGGAGGAAAAGGTCCCGCGCGTACTCATACAGCTCCACGTCCCACTGGTTAAGCTCTCGAATCCTGCGCTGGGTCTCCGATTCCACCTCTATGCTCGCAGCACGCGTGCCGTTGAGCTGCGTGAATGGCGCGATGAAGGACAGGCGGAACGTGTGCTCAAAGAGGTACTGCGTCTTACGCTGATATTCAGTCAGACCAAAAAAGGCCATGTTTCGCAAGTTGCGCTTGGCACTTTCCAATAACATAGCCCACCGCTGGCTCTCACTCATGACGGAGAGGTTATAGCAGCCCACCAGGCTGAGGTCGGCCAGCATACGAGTCTGTCTGTTGTTGGCCAGGTTGTAAGGACACACCATGAATTCTTCTAATGAACAACCCGACCAGTCGTCACCAGTGTAACAGCTGGGCAGCTCGGTCAGAGTGGGTGAATGGCCATCGCACATGTGTTTAGAGGCCTTCCAGGTGGCACCGCGCTGAACATGCCTCCATTCACTCAGGTATCGCCACACCGGATCCCTCAAGATTGTGATGTAGTAGTAGTTCCTACTACATGAGACAGGAAAGAGAAGAGTTAAAAAAAAAAAAGTGTCAAAATGAGCTCAAACTAAAGCAGTCACAACTGACTTGAAACAAAATGAAACTTAATATTGCATATGTATCATTAAGTTGGGTAAAGTTGTCATATTTTGTGCATGTTCACACTGACAGAATTATACATGGCGTAGTTTCTGTTGGGAGTGTGTCAGGGGAGCGATCTTGATGGAAAACGGAATTAAATATTGCTGGTTGACTCTAATTATGGGCATTTCAGCATAATGAGCCAATGAGAAGAATAATCTTTCAGCTCACATCCAGAACACTTTCCATATGAATATCAATTAAGACTATCTGGACAAATGCATTCAACAACAGCAGAGAGAAAGTCTCTGGAGAGCCTCAACTTTTCCTTTACTTACAAGCCAACAATGAGCCCATGGGATTTTAATTTGATCTAATTGTGTCCATTTAAAAAGCAGGTATTTCATGGTTTATAGCTGTATGTATATATATATCAGTCTGCATAATTAACTGTGCAAGCTCATTTCCTTTATTTATACATTTAGACTATATGCTCACCAAATGTTAATATTTAAAAAACACTAATCATTTTAAAACTGTTAAGCAGATCTCAAAATTAATATCATTATATATAATAGTGGTGTTATATATTAATAATTTGATGCCCAAATTCACTTTAAAACAGTTGGTTTTGGTTCTTGATGCTTTATTTTCATTTGAATATTTAATCATTTTTTTAAATCATAAAATCATTCTACAATGCTGTCTTTTTCCTTTCCCAATGAATCATTTTCCCTATGATTGCACAAAAACAAATATAAATGCTTATAGCTTACAGAATGAACTAACATGGGGGACGTCCCAAATCAGAATCCCCAACTCATTCCAAGCCTCACCATTCAAAACGAAACCATCAAGCAGGGTTTAAGGTAAACTAAAGGTGATTAATGGAATGGTTAATGCTTCAATTAAGCATTAATTCAAAAAGGATGGGCTGAGTTTCTTAAAGAGGTCATATGATGTTGCTAAAATAAACATTATTTAGTGTATTTGGTGTAATGAAATGTGTTTATGCAGTTTAAGGTTCAAAAAACACATTATTTTCCACATACTGTAACATTATTGTTTCTCCTCTATGCCCCGCCTTTCTGAAACGTGTTGATTTAATTCGACATAATTACGGATTATAATGACTTATCTATTGATGACTGTCTTTTTACGTGTTGCATCGCGCCGCGTAAACATAAAACCATGTCTGCATTTGTGATCGGGAGAAGTGACAAACAACAAGTGCTACTCTACACTGCTCAAAACTTACGTTTGAATCGTCAGTGGCAAATTCTTTAAATATGAAAACGTACTTACAGACTGTGAGTCAGAACAGCCGGCATTGTAGGCTACTCTGCAGGATCAGGAAACGGTCCTCCATAAAATGCGCTGCACACATCTGAATATTTGGGTTGAAGTGTGCTGGAACAGTGTTGTAAATACAACTTAACCACTGATTTCTAGTCGTGTCCTCTTTTGGAAGACCAAACAAAGTAGTTTCGCTTTCACAATGAAACACACAGCGTCACACACGGCGGGCTAGAGTGAGGAACAGCCGGCGGGTTTGAGAACGGCGCGGCTGGTGGATTTGACGAAGGAGCGGCCGGCGGGCTTGCGACAACCACATGTGACGACCCCGGGCTCGACTCCACGTTGTCCACGGTGAAAGCCGATCCGGCGAACTACAGCACGAAGTTGATGTATTTCCTCAGAGTCCAGCATGGATCGTGTTAGAACGAGCCATTTTAGGTAGGCGTAGTTGACTCTTAACTTTTTAAAAGAATATCTCTTTGGATTTAAGACTTTAGTCTTTGCAACTTTATAGATCTTCTTTACGCACCAAGAGCTTGTAACACTTCAAAGAGAAAGGAAAAATTGAAATTGCATCATATGACCCCTTTAATGTTTTAGAGAGTCTCTTAGGCTTGCCAGGCTGCATTTATTTGAACAAAACACAGTAAAAACATTAATATTATGAAATTTTACAATTTAAAATGAGTTTTTAATATATATTTTCAAATGTCATTTATTTATGTGATAGCAAAGCTGAATTTTTAGTATCATTACTTCAGTACTCAGATCCTTCTGAAATCATTCTAATATATTGATTTGCTGCTCAACAAACATTTATTATTGGCAGTGTTGAAAACAGTTCTGTGAAAACTGATTTTGTCAGGATTCTTTGATGAATAGAAAGAACATTTGAACAATAGTGTAAAAAGAGAACCAACCTACTGCGCTCTAAGGACTCAACACTTATTCACCAAATCCAATGCCTCCCAATTCAAACATTATCAAACAGTGTTTATCCCATGCTACAGGGAGTTTATTTAAAGGACAAGCCTGAGAAAATGGCAGATGTTCTGGTGCCAGCAGGCTGTCTGCCCTCCAGGGTGTCTGAAAGGGTGAATGATTATGATGATGGGTCCCCTGTTGCAGGAATGCGCTGAATGAAAGCAGACTCTGAGGTTGAGCCTGACCTGTTGGAGGCTTTTGTCTCCGCATAATTGACTTGCTAAGGGGCTTCAGCACTGAACTGAACGAGAACAATATGAGGGGAAAGAGTGGCGAAGCGCACCGTGACACCACCATAACAAAAGAAATAAGTTTGTTTATCAAGACGCGTCTCAGTCCATTATAGACACTAAATTAGTTTGATATACTGATAAAAAAAAAACAATCAAACCCTCACCTGGGTGTCCTGCGCCTCTCCTGAGACTCCCGGTTGCCCATGAAGGAAGGCACGCAGTTGGTAAGCTCCGTCCAGTCCGCGTGCAGCCCGCAGCTCCAGCCGGTGGAGAAACGAGAGAACAGCCAGGTGTCCCGTTTGCCCGGCCGGTAGCAGGTACACTTCTTCTGGCCCGCATGGCACTCGCACGGCCTCTCCAGCTGGATGTTGCGAACGAGGTGACGGCCGAACGTGGTCCCCCCGGTTTTCTGAATGTGGAGGAACACTATAACATCGTTCCCCTTGATGTTGAAGTCTACAGCGCGATTAAGGTCTTTGGTGGTGAAATTAAAGCGAGGCACGAATCGAACCAAAGCACCGTCCTCGGAGCTGTACGGATCTCCGGCACCGGCTCCGTTCATGCGATCCCCGGGCGCGCGGCTTCCCAGTCTCGAGGACAATGATGCCAGGTGGAGCAACTGGCAGTCGGACGTAGGGCAGACGTATTGTAATACAATAACACCGAAACACAGGACCATCAGGAGTGCGACGAGGAGCCGGCTGTAGTAGGATTTTTCATCCATCTTCTCGCTGGAAAAGCGAAAGCATACTCAGTTGTGCGGTTCCTCCACCGCGTCGCGTCGGCCGGGGAGGAATGTTGTTGAACAAAACCTGTGACTCGAGCCTCAGCACATCAAAACATGAACACGCCCAGCGCTTTTTCTGGATGTTGGTCTGCTCGTGTCGAACCTAGTTGATGTCTACATGTTTCCATGAGGCTTTCCTGCTCGTACTAGCATCGCATTGCTTTGAGATCTTCAGATAACTTCTGCTGTTTACCTCTGCCACAATTCCGTACTCGCTCTTCCCAGTTCCTCGGTTTGCTTTCCCAGTAGTCCACACCGCCCTCATCCGCATTTGAATCTTCATAATAAAAGCCCCCATTGGGAACTATTTGACCAATTCTGTTTTCAATTTGCAAGGCTGTCTGCAAGTAACTGTCTAGACATGTAATTGGTTAAAATGTTTCTTCTGATAAACAAAACAATATTTGTTAACGCACACACACAGGTTTCCATGTTTTATGGGGACATTCCATAGGCGGAATGATTTTTATACTGTACAAACTGTATTTTCTATTCCCCTTACTCCAACTCTACCCCTAAACCCGCATCTCACATACAACTTTATGCATTTTTAGATTTTCCACAAAAAAAAGATCATCGAGTATGAGTTAAAATGGTTAGTTGGAGACCAAAAAAATGTCCCTTCAAGGTCAAAATGTACTGGTACTACTACATTTGGTCCCCATAGGGAATACTAGGACCAAACACACACACACACACACACACACAGATTTGAATTACAATACTGCTTTACAGGCAAAGCCAATGTTATTTTTGCTGGTTGATATTGTCTTATAGTCTATTATATCTGTAAAGCGCTATATGTATGAAGTGCTATAATAAATAAATCTTCAAAATAGCACATCAGAAAGCAAACATTGATTAACTGCCGGATAAAAAAAGTTATTAATGTCCCATACTGGATATGGTTTTCTTTAATGTGAGAATATTTCAACATCAGGAATCTAAGCTAACATTGATTAATATTTCACTTAGAATTTACCGTTTTGTATCTTGTGTAATAAATGAGTCTCTGTAGGTGTAGAATTCTCCATACATGGTCTCCATCACATTTATTTTCTGTACCATTGGAAGAAAACAACTATGTGGGACATTAATAGTCTGGCAGTCTTCATCTCATCTTGACAAGTTTGTTGACTTCACACACGAAGACTAAAGGAATATTTAACACTGCAGCTTAATTAATGGCTGTGATTAATCAGTGTTCATGATTGTTTTAAGTCATCCTTTGTTTTCTTCTGTGTTTTACTAATTGGTCTCTCAAAGAGATTTTCAAAGCATTTTGAAATGCTAATCCTAGTAAAGCACAACAGAGCAGAAATGACACACGACACATCCAAATATCTGCAGTCTTTATTTCAACAAGACTAAGAAATGTTTAATATAACTTCTCTCTTACATTTTTAGCATCTATCTCTTTGTTTCGCCCATATTAAGCACACACTCTGAATGGGTAAAATCTGATGAACATCTCTCAGAGACCACTAAAATGACTGCTGATTATTTACAATTTGTTTTTTTCTTTCTTCAGCGTCTCTCACTCCTCATCACAGATGACTCCATTGATGTACAGGGCTGCAGGCCCTGCGATCTGTCCAACTCAAGGTCAGCAATCAATCTAAAGATGACATTGCAGAGGTTCATTCAAGAGTCCATGTCATCTTCACACTGACTCGGAGTAGCTTGACATACTAAGCACAAGACACTTCCTTTCCTGGTCATTACATCAGAGCCATCTTAACATGTGACAGTGGGAAGCTTTGGGTCAAATGTACAGAAAACACATATTGCTTTCTATTCGTTGCAGCACATCAGACTAGAAAAATACATAATCAATCTGAGGTGCTGCTGTAGAGATCTACTCATTTCAGGCTCATGAAACCCTGACGATTCTTTTCCATGTCTGAGGACTGGCCATTCATCCATAGATACTGAATGAACCTCAAATGAATAAAAATTAACGTAAAAAGTATGCATGTTGCAGATACGATTAAAAGCATCATTTAAAACTCTCTTGCTGTGAGGTATCTGAATGCCAATTAAAAGTGCATGTGACATCAGGAACGATCAAGGACCGATGGCCAGCCCTGTCCTTGCATCAGCTTGTACAATTTTCACAATCCCCTTACATAAAACTGTAACGACAAAAATGCTTACGGTAGCTCGGTTTACAAAATCTAAATATTATGTAACATGAAATCTGAAGCCAAAATAAAACCATCGGTTAAATTGTGAATTCATTCATCAACAGACATAAATATTGTGAAGACTGAAATTAAGATACCTAGGAAAGCGATGCTTGCGAATGCCTTTCAAAGAGACATGTGGTTAAATAACTTACTGTACAAGAGCGAGGGGAGCTAGTTTTTCTGAGAGGTGGGTGGAAAGCCCTGGAGACCGAGAGAGATTTTCTTTTAAACCAACCAACAAGCACTTGTCAGCCATCTGAATGGGAACTCGCATGCATAGCCACTTTTGAAACTGGTGTTGTAACGTACCACACACACACTGTCTATTGCTCTATATGAGGAAAGGTTTTAAAATGTGTACCGAATTCTATGGATATCAATCGGGTATGGGGAAAAGGCTGGACATTTTAGGTTACAGACAGAAATGAAAGAAACAAAAACTAAAAGAGGCCACCCAACCTCTCAAATCAGCACCGTCTGTCACTGTGTAGTGAAATCTGCTGTAGTACCTATCATACAGTTTTATACCTTACAGTACACTTCAAGCAAAATAAACACCTCCACATAAAACCCTGTGTAAAATTCCTCCAGACAGCTCAGCCTTAAGCCATCTTCAGCATACACTCGTATCCAGCTGGTTCTCCTTGAAATGTCCAGTAAAAAACAACTTTACTCTGGCCACACAGTCCACATCATGCAAAATACATGATCATCTTTGAGGGAACCATCGAGGCCTATTCAAAGTATCAACTTTCAGACAGACCTTACCTAACCAAAGCTCCTTCTTCATCACACACACATACTGAAGACTATATTCTCAAGTTATATATTATACTGCTGAAAATATTTGGGATGATGATACAGGGGCTGTGAAAGTTGGAAACATACAGAAAAGAAAAGAAAAAAAAAACACTTTGTGTCTGGAATCCTCTAGTTTTGATTTCACTCACAAGGCAGCATTGTATACATTTTTGTCAGTCGCAACCCAGATGAAATGCCCATTTATGAAGTATTTAAGGCATCGTGAAGTTTTTATCATCTTCTAAAATTCAAGAACATATATATGATCTGCAGCCAACCAAAGCCTCCATGCACACCAACACACATGCTCAAAATGTATAAAAAAAAAAATTTGAGTACTTCATACAGATTTGCTTAAATCATACGTGTTATATGGGTTGATTAATTGTTTACGTTTTATAAAAAGCGCTCGGATGATATATACAGCCAATCGTACACTCATCCACCCAAACACACACTCAATCTGACTTACTTTCAAACTAACACTTATTTAAACCATAACCGAAAAAATCATGAGTCGTCGTCAATGATTCTGGACACTACAGACACGAAGGACTAAAACCCAGCTGACGTGAAATGCTGTATGGAAACATATAGCTGTACATAAATGAAGTCCGTTCTTATAAACACAAAAAATACACTGAAGGGAAGTTATTTGAATATTAATAACTCGACTGTCTTCCCCAGATGGCAGGCAGACGGAGATCCTGAAAGCAGTGTCTTTAATGTCCTATGGCAGTTTTCTGCTCTCTTGTTCAAATTCGTACAAACACACATCCTGTTCCTCTCTTGGCCGGTCTTATCTCGTGTGTGGGGTGAGCAGGGCGAGCAGGAGTGCCGTCACAGCCAGCGCCAGGCTGAAAGGTGCCAACCGTGTACCACTAGAGGGCTGTTTGTCAGATTGAATCTTGATAATGCGAGGTTTAGCGGGTGCTGGGGTGGAGAAGTAGATGTCCCCGTCACTGTCGCAAGGGGGCGAGTCACAGCCACTTCCGCTTTCCTCTCCACTGCCGGCATCTTCTGAAGAGCCGGGAAAGACAGAGATAAACATTAAAAACAGGCTCATATGACATCATCTTGACATTTCATAATAAATGTCACTTGAATTGAACCACAACTGTAACTCAAACAAAACAGATGCCTCTCGTACCATTGACAAATGTGATGTCGGTGCCAGTGTAAGCAGCCTTAAGCCGGCTGGTCATTTCCTTCAGCACTGCTATCTGCCGCCGAATCACCATGTCTGGTTTAGTGATGTCAACTTCCACATCTGGATTAGACACCTGATTGGCTAAGCCATTGCCTATGACGACAGAGTCGTACCTGCATGTGAAGAAAGGAAGGAAAATTTGAGTTGCAGCTTGAGTGAGGAATGAAATGGAGGAATTTTACTGTACTGCGACCAATAAAAGTGTCTTTTCAAAACCTAGTTTAAAACAGCCAAGCTCCTAGAAATGTACTCTTTGTAGGTTTCATATGGTTTTGAAAAACTGAATATACCATTTTCAAGAAGTATTTTAATATAACGACTCTAAAAATGTCATGTGATTTAACAATTAAAAAGTAATACTATATTTTCCTTACTACTCAAGTGTTCACTTCTTAATTATTTTCAAAAATGTTTTTCAAAGCAGAATTTTTTTTTTTTAATAAATTTGAGTTAAAGTAAAGTCTGAAGTGAGTTGCACCACATGACCTTGCTTTGTCAAAAAAATATAAAATTCAGATATTTTAAGATATTTACTGACAGCCATGAGGGTCTCCATTATATCATTTCCTTTTTATTCTTATTTTTGCCCCCGCATGTTTGTTGCACCACACGACTTTGATTTAGTGAACAAAAGTTTTCCAAATGTTGCTACACTGCTAATTTGTACTGCTTTTCTAAGAAAGGTTTCCTTTTCAAAAATGTAATTCTTGAAATAGAGGCGTCATTCTCTATTATGATATCAGTACAGATTTAGCGCTCTGAAGTTTTTGACATTATGCTTTTTAGGGCTGTGTATCACCACCAGCAAAGTCACGATACGATACGTATCACGATACAGAGGCCACGATACCATACGTATCACGATACAGGACTGCACTGAATTTCACCTCAGCAGAATTTAGTAAAACAGCTGTTTATTAAACATTGCATACTATAGGGCCACTTCTAACTATTGGCAGAGCAGGCAATTGACCTCTGCATTATGAAGGGCCTCCATAACTGTACCACAGTACAATATAGGTAATGGCATATGTTTCATGTTTACATTGTGCACTCCCCACCAAGTACAATATTCTGATTGTTTGCATCTTGTTTTTAAGCCTATAAATAATAATGTACTCATTCTAATAAATTTATATTGTAATCTACTCATTCTAATATATTTATAAAAAAATCATATTTACATTGCTGGTAGGTAATCATTGCACAAATTAACACAATCTCTACGTTTAAAAAAAAAAAATTAGAAGTGTTCTAAACCAACGCGCTGTCTTCTGTAACGCGCACACACGTTCAGTCACTCACACAGATCACATTGCGGCCGCACTGAGACATTCAGGAACAAACTTTTTAGCGCTGCCCTGCAATTTTATCAACTAAATAGCTTAATTGATCAAGAGCTACATTATCTTTCTCAACAAGGAGCTGGTAACATCACTGTTTCTAAAGGAATTAAAGCCACAGCTTCACTGTTAATAGAGAAACGCGGCAAAACGGTGGTAATTCATTCATACACAGCCCCTCTCTCTCTCTCTCTCTCTCTCTCATAAATGAACACTTAATGAATTACACTTTTCTGAGGATAGAATATTGAAGTGGAGATCGCTAAACTGCAAGCTAACCGGTGTTTTCAGAAAGCAAGCGCGTTTATCCACAGTGACGAGAGAGTGTGTGCACATGGTTGCCAGGTTGACAAAGATAAGTAGCACACTTAACAGATATTTCCGTATTGCGAAAGTGTGAAGCTGTGTTTCGGGGATTACGTCTCTTTATATCAGGCAACCCAGTTGTGTTCCTCTGCAGCCAGATTAAACCTTCTTGTAGCCTATATATTATGCTTTATTCATTATTTTTTAGAAACCTCGCACTTTTCTACTCAATTTTAAATGTTGTTCTTGTATTCAAATTAAGCACGGTCCACTGCTGCCCACGTGTCACAATATCGATACAGGGCCAGCTGTCAAATCTCTGTGACGATACATCGTCATATCGATGTATCGAACACAGCACTAATGGTTTTTAATTCCATAATTTAAAACAAATCCCGCAATGATTTGAATACACCTCTCATATGATGAGCAAGTATAAACTGCATTTTAAAGTGATTGTGAAAAACGTCATAGATCTGCTCAAAAAGAGGACCATCATTTCATTGACCCACCTGCTTTTTGCTGTACCATTCCAGCATTCATCACCGATGGCAATCCGTTCTCCAACACACACAGTGTCCGGCAGGGTGGACCAGAACTTTTTGGCGTGCTTCAGTTTCTTCTTGACATCGGTCAACTAGGAAACAAACAGTTTGTGTTACAACCATTCCTTTCTGATCTGGTAGAATAAATCAACATGTTTTTAAAGAAAGTTTCTAGAAGGGATGTAAGTGGTAAGGGAGCCCATTATCCTTACCAGTCGGTCCAGGCTGGTGCCAGCAGCAGTGGTGGGTCTGGCATCAGGGCTGTAGGGTCGGAAACGCCCGGGGAAGCCTGAGTCTTTAGTAGAGCGCCGGGTGCGGAATGCCATGTTGGGCTTGGGCTGCCCACATCCCTGAAACACCTGAAACAGATAAATAACTATAAATACACATAAGCATAGGTTTAATAAAAACAGGCATTTCTGATATACATGTGAAAATGTCATTTTTGAATTAAAAGCATACCTTCTGTGAGACCTGTATGCTGTTCTCTTGCATGTTCATGATGGCGTCTGAGATCTTCACGTCTATGGGATCCATGACTGACTCAAAGTTAAAGGGTCCCTCCAGCCTCTCAGCGAGACCCAACATGGCATCTTAAATTCATAAAATTCAAAATAAAGGCATTAATGAAGGGAACACCCTCAAAGCAATCCATTTCATCAATGCTTTCAATTAACCATGACCAAAAAAAAAAATGCTGACATTTCCACCACTAGAGGGCAGCATACAGTCATCGGTCCAGGCTAAGCTCATGAGGAACTGAAGCCTGTTGTGCAAACAGTTTTAGATGCCTGAACAAGGTGCCCCAATTAAGGTTCCGCCCAAAGCTGACAGTCAGGGTGAGCAAAGCCAGTCCCAGAGTCCCACGAGCCAGGAACACTTTGCGAGAGCGCACGAGAATGTGTGACGGGACCTGAGACCACACGGCCTTTCAGAGTCACGAGAGGCCCAAAACACTTCATGAAACACATACAAGGATAAAAACAGAGCCGCTCCCCAGTGTTCACTCCTAATTCAAGTCAACTCCAATTCTGCTTTCAAGCTGAGGCTTCACATAAATAGTTTTGGCCTCAGAGCAAGTGGAAACCATTTCAATGTGACCTGTTCATTTTCAATCTGTGCTTATGATACTCCTCTGCTTAGTGTGGAAAACTGGCTCCATTACATTTAGGAATAGTTCAGTAATAAATCAATTGCTTGAGCCATTTAACACTCTCTTACCAAGGAAGTTATTCCACTCTGTGTCCAGATCGGCTTGATTGGCCAGGCAGCCTCGCATGACGTTGAGACAGTAGTTCTTGCAGGGCTTCAGCGCCACCTGGCCGGTACAGTACGGGCAGTATAACATCTTCATAGCCGCACGCACACAACTCGGGGAGGCACTAACCTGAAAGAAAGGATGAACAAGAAGATTGAGCAAAGTCAGCAGAACAGACACAGGAGGAAAAGGTTAATGAGTCCGTAACCTAATTCATATATGCCTGATGCTGCTGATAAAACTCTGAACAAAGAGCATCAGCGACCCTACCACCTTTTATAAGGTCACTGCTAAAGTTGTGTTTGCTCAATTTGTCATTGCAGGTTCAACTGCTTCTATTAACTCACTAAACACACCGAGAAGCCTTGGCCTCTGATCTTTTAATGCTGGAAGATAAGCCCCGATTGGTCCATCCAGGTGTCCACCTTCACACACTGATAAACCCTATAGAAAACCCGTACTTTCGATCTCTGTTGTCCCTGATCTCGGGCTTGCTTAATAAACATAAGTTGCCATGCTAACCAAATTCAGCTCTAGGGCTGGTACTGATGAAGATTTCCTGTTTCGATTTGTTTTGGATTTACAAACTTTTGATTTGATTTGATTCTGATTTAGTTTGATTTTATTCTGAATCATTAGAGTATGTGTCAGTTATAATTTTCCTTACATAAAGGCATTCTCTCTTTGCTAATGTGATAACAAACAGGGCAGTGTTTCGGACTGATTTAAATGGACCTTTTTGAACTATTCTATAAAATAATCAGTTTATAAGCAGAGTTATCTTAATCAGGGTTAACTATTACTAAAACTATAAAAAATATTTTTGTTAATTGAAATAAAACTGAAATTAAATTATAAGATGATTATATTATAAAATGAAAAAACGTTAGTTTTCAGTTAGCTGCCAAGACAACATTTCTAATCTTACTTTAGGTTGAAGCACTAAAATTATTGAAAAATATGAGTAAAAAAAAGAAAAGCTCATAAAATAACTAAAAAATTGTAAGAAAAATTTAAATGAAAACTAAAAATATATCAAATCAATGCTAGCTCAAAATATGAAAAAACTAATAGTATATAAATAATACAAAAATAACACTTTTCATAAGAGTCGTTCATTTCAAGAATCAGGCTACGCAGATCGTGCTGTATGTTTTTAATTCCCTAAAAGAACTGATCATAAGTCACTTGTTTATGGATCAGACTACATTGGTAACATTGTAAATGTTTTTTTTTTTTGAATGCAGCCCTTGAGGACAACACATTTTTTGCCATTATTTTGTCTTATTGCATCACATTCAATAATTATCTGGAAAATTGACAATTTTACCCCTCCCTAGACAGAGAAATTTAAAAATAAATAAATAAAAATCTGCTCACCGTGGAGACTTTGCCCACTACCTCAGGCATGAGCACCAGGCCGTGGGTGAACGTGCGAACTGCGATGAAGGACCGGGTCAACTGCAGGCGCAGCTTGCGTGGAACATCGCCAAAGGGTTTGAGCTGCTCTGTGTGCCTACTGACACACTCCATGTACGAGTTGCTGAACTCATACTGCACATTGACCAGTCGGAACATGCGCTCCAGAAGCTCCGTCCAGAAGTCCGCTAGCATGTCGTCCAGGTTGACGGCGCTGCTCCCATGGCTGTAGTAGTGGCGTAGCTCACTGAAGAAATGCTCGAAGAGCTCGGCGTTCTTCACATACATCAAGCCGTAGGTCCGCACGAACATGTCATTGAGAGATTTCTCTGCATTGCTCAACAGCTCTCTGAAGAACTCTGAGAACAAAGGACAATAACGATGGAGTTTAGTTTTAAATATGTCAAAGGTGATGAAGGTTTTCAAGTGCATTCCTTCTGTGACAACAGCTGGAGTGAATGTTCTGAATCTGATAAAATGCATTGTGTGTGTGCGCACTTGTAGTGTACTTCAAATCTTATTTCTAATCTATATACATATATATATATATATATTAGTGCTGTCAATCGATTACATTTTGTTTTCTGAAACTTTTTAAATATACTTTTATATTGTAATAATTTCACATTTAATCTTCAAATTAATGTAGAAACAACATAAAGACAGTATATTTTTTATATTTGTTTAATGGCATATTTTTTATGACTGAAGGCCAGTATCACTGACTACTAAAATATTCCTAATATTTAACCATTGACTATAGCCATTCAACATTACAGTATAATTGAGAGCTATACATTTTATTTGTTTTATTTAACGCAACTGAAATGTTCCCCAAGTCCAAAAACGTAGCAAGGAGATCTGTAAAATAATCCAGGGTGATGCGGAGGAGACGAATTGTTGAATAAAGTTTTTTTTTTTCTTTTCTTTTCTTTTGCGCACAAAAAGTATTCTCGTAGCTTCGTATAATTACGGTTGAACCCCTGATGTCACTTTTACAGATCTCCTTGCTACGTTTCTGGACCTGGGAATATTACAGTTGCGTTGCTGTCTATGGAGGGTAAGAGAGCTCTCAGATTCCATCAAAAATATCTTAATTTGTGTCCCGAAGATGAACGAAAGTCTTACGGGTTTGAAATGACATGAGGGTGAGTAATTCATTTTAATTCATTGTTCATTCTTGGGTGAACGAACCCTTTAAGGCAGCTTTAATCGCCTTCATGACTTAACGGACCACGACATTGCATGCACATTGCAAAATATTTTTAACGCGTTAAAGGGGTCATATGATGCGATTTCAATTTTTCCTCTTTGAAGTGTTACAAGCTCTTGGTGCATAAAGAAGAACTGTAAAGTTGCAAAGACTAAAGTCTCAAATTCAAAGAGACATTCTTTATAAAAGTTAAGAGTCAGCCACGCCTACCTAAAACGACTCGTTCTAACACATCCCCATGTCTACGTCACTATGTGGGAAGATTTGCATAACGCCGCCCAAATGTTCACGCAAAGAAAGAAGGCGTAACTTTTATTCTCGCTGTAGTATTGTTGCTGCCGCCATGTCGTGAAGGCGCTGTGTGTTTCGTTGTGAAAGCGAAACTACTTTGTTTGGTCTTCCAAAAGAGGACGATATCCGCTTCATCATGCCTAGAGCTGATCCGTGCTGGTCGCTGAGGAAATACATCAACTTCGCGCTGTGGATCGCCGGATCAGCTTTCACCGCAGACGAAGTGGAGTGTGGTTGCCGCAAGGCTGCCGGCCGCTCCTCCGTCGAATCCGCCGGTCGCCGTGTGTGACACTGTGTTTCATTGTGAAAGCGAAACTAATTTGGCCTTCCAAAAGAGGACACGACTATAAATCAGTGGTTAAGTTCCAGAACAGTTCAACCCAAATATTCAGATGTGTGCATCACATTTTATGGAGAACTGCCTTGAATGGCCCAGCCAGAGCCCTGACTTAAACCCAATTGAGCATCTCTGGAGAGACCTAAAAATTGCTGTCCACCAACGTTTACCATCCAACCTGCCAGAACTGGAGAGGCTCTGCAAGGAGGAATGGCAGAGGATCTCCAAATCCAGGTGTGAAAAACTTGTTGCCTCTTTCCCAAAAAGACTCATGGCTGTATTAGATCAAAAGGGTGCTTCTACTAAATACTGAGCAAAGGGTCTGAATACTTAGGACCATGTGATATTTCAGTTTTTCTTTTTTAATAAATCTGCAAAAATGTCAACAATTCTGTGTTTTTCTGTCAATATGGGGTGCTGTGTGTACATTAATGAGGAAAAAAATTTAACTTAAATGATATTAGCAAATGGCTGCAATATAACAAAGAGTGAAAAATTTAAGGGGGTCTGAATACTTTCCGTACCCACTGTATATTATTTTTTTTAAATGTACTTGTAGGTAATATTAATTAAATAAAAACAGAGTACACTTTCATGACAGTTTAACACTCTTAAGAACAAGAGAAAGTGCACTTTGTGATCATGTCAAATAATTTTTTTTTACTTCAAAGTACATTATTAATCAGTTTTAATAATTTTTTGTACACTTTTGTTGACTAACAAAGCACGTGTAAAGTATGTGATTATAATTTTAACTGTAGTTTGTTATTTGATACTAGATTAGTAGTTCATATATTTTAAATGTCCTACATTTCAATTTTAGCATTACAAATGTTTAACTGCCAAAGTCCAAAAAAGACTAATAACTAAAGATTACAGTAAAAAGCACCAAAAAGTAGGCTACACAATTTGTGTACTATATTCTTAGTCTGAGGTCATATGATAAACCTATAACAACTGATGAAGTCCGACCTGTCAATTTATTACAAGTTAATGTCTACAAAAGACCTGGAATACAGGCAAAGTCATCTAGACTGCATTTACAATGCTTTTATTATGCTTTTTTGCCCTTTTTGAAATGTAACAGATGAGACCACTATGAACTGTCAGAAAAGATCTCTATTAAGATTCATTAAAAATTCCATTTGGAACAACATAGCAGGGAGTAAATGATGATAATTTTCATTTTTGAGAGAAATACTGTTTTAACACTCATTAATTGTACATTAAGAAACTTTTGAGTTTCGAGCCCTCATCTTTAAAGCATTCTCGGGTAAGAAACAAGATAAGAAAAGAGATCTCTACATCTTATCTTTAAAAGAATGTGCACTTACTGGCCATGAACACAAACATAACAGATCTGAATTTGAGCACATGTGTAACATGGAACTGAGTGTGCATGCAGAAAGACTTCACTTTAGAAAAAGCACACAGACTGTCAACTTCAACACGTATAAAATGAATTGCTATTAACTTTGGAACGTCAGCTGGCAGAACGTCCATGACTTTTCATTACAATGAAAGGAGACAGCGATTTAGTGCTCCGCAGAGGCCTCGGCCTAACTTGCTCTCACTTGACTGGAAAACCTACCAGAACTGCCGGGGAGGCCAGAAAAGCGCATGGTTATTATCTAAACAGATTAATGCATATTCCATTTGACCCGACACAAGGTTTTCACTCGCTACATTCCAGGAAAATAACTTTTGTGTCAAAGGAGAAAGAGCTGAGAGTGCAGAAAGGATGAAGGGCAGCTAACGTCTCGCCCATCGAGCCGGTTGAGGCTGACTGATATCAATGGCATTTTCCTGTTGTCACATTCCATTCGCTTTTCTTTCTCTCCGCACAGCTCCTGCTCCGTCCTTCAGAAGGCTTTTCAATAGGATTACTGAATAATGCCGACCCCCCTCCCCGAAAACGGACCTGTACCCCCCCTGAAACCCCTCGCTGACTCTCTCCTGCTTTCAGTTCATCAGTGGATTCAGAAGGCTCTCTTCATTGGAGACGGGGAACAATGCCCTACTTCATCCTGTGGAATGTCAGGCCCCCTTTCCTCCCAGCCTCCCCAAATAATCCAGCCCCTCTCTCCCATGAAACCCTCTCTCTCTCCCGGCCCGGCAAACCCTACTTTTTTAATCTGAACAAAATGAGAATTCCAAAGAAATGCTTCACCTCTCTTCCCGCGCTCACACATGCTCGCCCCGCAAAGTGCACCATTTGTTTTTCGCCTTTGTATCACCTTTCTCCTCTCGCTAAAAGCCAGCCGGCCCGCAGCACAGATGCCCTGCGCATAATGTGTGAGACTTTGAAGTGTTAAGTGGCCATGCATCTGAAAGCGTCGTCTGGTGTTCTCGTAAACCGTCTTTCACTACCCATTGGCTTCGTCGACACAAACAAGACACCTCAGGTTTATAAACAAACAAGGCACACTGTGCTGCTGTCAATTCCATCTCAAGCTAACGCACAGTCAGGTTAATGACAAGAGGTGTGTGTGTGTGTGTGTGCTCGTGTGAGAGATGGACAGGGGAATGCAAGTGTAGGGCTTTGAGGCCTTTTCTAAATGCCCCATCCTGCTGTGTAACCACGGACACCGGAAACACTGCAGGCCTTGCATTTAGCTCCCCTCTCATGAGTGGCCCTCGGCCCCTGGCCCCACACAGGGAGAGAGATAGAAGGCACCCAGCTCCACGCTCCATTGACAGAGATTAAACCTTAAGGGCCACCGCACCCGCCTTCCTCCAGATCCCGAGGAATGACAGAGCTGTCACAAGTTTAATGTCAGGGGGGAGCAAAGAACGAGGAGAGGGAAACATAAGAAAAGATGGGAAAGAGGTGAGGATGAGAATATTTTCCAGGTTTGCAGGTTTGTGTGCCATTACCAAAGAAAACATGAATTTACATGAGCCACTTCAAGGACGTGCATGCTAAATCACAGTAAAGTGAAATAAATTTTTGTAGTTCTTGGAAGATTTTTGTGCATATGCATCAAGGCATGACTAGAGACAATAATTACACCCCAGTGAAATGCAAAAGAACTCAAAAGTTTGCTAAACTGCTTATGACAGTCAATGACACAATGGCGTTTTTTTTGGTCCAAATTTACAAAAAAAAAAAAAAACCACACAATTCATGTATGCAATGATTACCAGAAAAAAGCAGTGAAGCACATTTGTTAAAATATTACTATTCAAAAAACTTTTGTTAGCTAAATTAAAGCTGCAGTCTGTAAGTTTTGCCTCTTTGTCGCCATCTCTGTTTGAAAACCTGGAATTGCAGCTGTGTGCGGAATTATCTAGCTTGCGTGGGTTGTGCGGCGGCACGGCTGCAGCACGGATGAATCTAATGTTCTGAGGAGTATGTGTGGCAGTCAGTCAATGCACCGGTGTGGATATCTACTGTACTTCGCAATCACAGATTCTAGCCTATGTCTTGGAATATGACCCAAATAAGAATTTTCACCGTATATTGCCATCTGAACAAGTAAGTAACAAGTCTGCCACGTTTGTTCTGACCAACTGAG